CAGGAAAGGCTGAGATGTCGTGACAAACCTAAACCAAGTCATATATTTAAGACTTGGCCTAGCCCCGTGCACAATACGGTCGGTTAAGACGTGATGCCTTCTTCTTTTCTAATGTATACACAACTCCTTCGCAAACTCCTTCCAATCACTAACACTCCATTGTGCGTCCATCCGCTTTTGATGCCACTGTCCCAAGTCTACCGGTGCATCTGGAATATCCTGATGCATCCCAAATTGTAGTTTCACCCGGTCACTTTGGTGAATTTCCATCGTAGTGAACCTAATTATGGGTTTCTTTGATGTCCACACAGCGGCATCATCGGGGTTGGGTTGGTGGTCGAGACCCTCGTACGGTATCCAAACAAACTACAATAAAGGTGGACAAATGAGTTAGACAGAGACATACAAGTTTATGCATATACACTATAAAAATCAAAGGTAAATAAATTACATCATCTGGCCCAAGGTGGTCGATGAGGTTGCGGTATTGAATTATAGAGTGCCTAGGACATCTCTGATAATTCATCCCTGGAACAGACCGCCTAAAAATAATAAACACATATAAATTAGCATCTAAAACACATCTCAGAAATTACTAACTTAAACGAAAATGAAGTTGTGTTAATATTCTAGAAAAGAAACTCACTTGTTGGCGTACGGGAATGTAAAAGCATTCCGGTTTATTGGAGCAAGCGTCGGCATCCTAGACCAACCCCACACTTGCAGGAGATAAGCACAACCATAAAAAGTACAGGAACTTTTTTTGGAATTTTTGCAAAGGGCGCTATAAAGATGGGCGAGGACAGTTGATCCCCAACTATATTCGCACACTTTGTTAATATTTTGCAATAATGGTAAATACATAGTATGGACGGTATTTCCAGTGCCCTCTGGAAATAAAAAATGACCGAACAAAATCATAATATAGCACCGTGTTTTGACTATTATGTCAAATGGAGTGCTATCATCAGTTAACACAATACTGTTGTATTGTTCTCTTAGGTATTTTAAATTAATTCCCTGACCCCTCGGGCGGCCGTCGTTTTCCGCCTGAGGCGCGTCCACACAATCAAACACTCAGACTATTTAATAAAGTCTTTAAACTCAAACACTCAAACACTTAAACACTCAAACACTCAATCACTCAAACACTCAACTCTCAAACTCTCATACACTCAAACACTCAAACACTCAATCACTCAAACAATCAAACACGTAAACACTCAAACTCTCAAACACTCAAACACAATTTTCGCTATGTCTCAAACACCACAATATATGATTTCGGCACATCTTAACGGTGAAGTTTTCGAAGATGAAACATCTGGTTACAATTTCAGAAACACTGAAGTTACAAGATTTTTAATTGACAGAAGGTCTAATTTTTTACACCTAAAGGCAAGAATAGAAAAAAAAACTGCAATGTGGTCCAGTTGGACAAATTATATACAAAAACCCAGTGTTTTTTGGCGGCCATGTCGAATGTAAATTTTTCCCGTTAAAGGTGCAAGATGATGAAGATGTGCGTAACATGTTCCGGAGTCACAATTACTCAGGTTTCTCAGATATCGTGTTATATGTTACATTACAACAACAATAAATGTCTCAGCAACTTGATTCTGCTCAAGTTTTTTGCGATTCTGACGATGAGCATGATGAAGTCAATGTTGTTGACGAAGAAGAAGAAGCAACTTAAGTCATTGTTGACAATATGGTGAACAACCAGGACGACGGGGTTCAACCCGACAATGTTTATTGTCCACCTCAACACATGACAAATCTCGATGTGGGTGACGATGAACCCTCGACAGATGTTTTCTACAATCCCAACTACGCAACAGAGGGGCATCTAAAGAAGGGTGACGAGTTTCGTACAAAAGAAGATTGCGTTCGGGCAATCAAACAGTTTCACATGGGGTTATCAGTCGATTATAGAGTCGATCTAACAAATTTGATGCGGTATACGATCCATTGTCGTAACGAGGAGTGTCCCTTCCGATTAACAGCGTCTTTCAGAAAGAGAAGCGATTCCTGGAAGATAGGGTCTATGGGTCCGTCCCACACTTGTATAATCTCTAATCCAATGCAAGACCATCGTAAAGTCAGCTCTCAATTGATTTGTGATGAGATTCTGTTAGTCGTTAGCGACAACCCGTCTTTGAAGGTGAGTACCATAATTGCACATATGGTTCAAAGGTACAATTACACTCCTTCGTACCGAAAAGCCTGGATTTCCAAAACTAAATCTGTTGAAAGGGTGTTTGGGAATTGGGAGGAGTCGTACAAGGAACTTCCGAAATTCCTGGTGGCTCTTAAACACTACTCTCCGGGAACTGTTGCGATATTGGAGACAATGGTCGCGTGTACATCAAACGGGACTTCTGTTGCTGGAAATGGAATTTTTCACCGAGTCTTTTGGGCGTTTGAACCATGCATCAAAGGGTTTGCATATTGTAAGCCTATAATTCAAATTGACGGAACATGGTTATACGGGAAATATAAGGGCACACTTCTCATGGTTGTGGCACAGGACGGGAACAACAACATTTTTCCAATAGCATTCGCTATAGTGGAAGGGGAGACTACTGGGGGTTGGAGTTTTTTCTTAAAAAACCTTCGCTGTTACATGTCTCCGCAACCTAACTTATGTTTGATCTCCGGTCGACACCCATCAATCGAGAGTGCATACAACAATGTTGACAACGGTTGGCAGGATCCTCCCTCGACCCACGTCTATTGCATAAGGCATATCGCCCAAAATTTCATGCGGGAAATCAAAGACAAGACGTTACGGAAGAAGGTTGTGAACACGGGATATGCACTAACTGAACCCACTTTCAGATACTACCGTGACGAGATCAGACTGACAAACGCAGATGCATTAAGATGGATTGATAACATTGATAGGGAGAAATGGACGCGGGCATACGATAATGGGGTGCGATGGGGCAACATGACAACTAACCTCGTCGAATCAATGAATTTTATTTTCAAGGGAATCTGAAACCTCCCAATAACTGTCTTGGTAAAGGCAACCTATTTTAGGCTAGGATCACTCTTTGATAGCAGACGTACGAAGTGGGGTTCAGTATTATAATCGGGTCAGGTGTACAGCGATACTTCAATGAAATTTATGAAAGAGGAAGCTGCCAAGGCAAACACGCACGTGGTGACAATCTTTGACCGTTCAACTAGTTGGTTCAGTGTTGTCGAGTCTATGGATCACAACGAAGGAAGGCCTAGGGGATGTTACCGTGTTGAATTGGATAAGAGCTGGTGTGATTGTGGAAAGTTTCAAGCATTTCGTATGCCTTGCTCTCATGTCATAGCAGCATGTTCGAAGTTGCGCCAGGACCCAACCAACCTTCTTTTTGCAATTCACCAAGTCATTAGTCTATGCAATGTCTACGCATGCAGCTTTCAAGTGGTGGTAAAGGAGGACTATTGGCCTCAATACGAAGGCGAAATTGTTTGGCATAATGACTTGATGCGCAGACAGAAAAAGGGTCGGCCTAACAGCACGTGCATTCGAACTGAGATGGATACCGCAGACAAGCTGGTGAGATTATGTAGTTCGTGTCGGCAACCAGGACACAATCGAACAAAATGTCCTAACGTAGGATCAAGCAGCAGATCATAGTTTCAAATGTAATCTTGTCCCGTTAAATTAATATCAACTTTCATTCGATTAATAGAAACTTTTAATCCATTAATAGAAAATTTCATTAGAATAATACCAAGTTTCAATCAATTAAAAGCATACTTAATTGACATAACAACAACATGAAAACAGAACACTGCACGAAGGCAACATAAATTAAACAAACATAACAACAACGTAAAAACTTAAAGCATAACACTGCACCAAGGCGTCTACAATATCACGACCATCAACTTTATCTTCTTTGGTGTCAACATCATCACAAGGACACCGACATCATTTTCCACTTTTCTCCATTCACGAGTCACTCCGTTTCTCCCGGTCTCCTCGACTAGCCTCTCGATTTTCCTAATCTTTTCTCCTGGAGCAATATCTCCTTCTAGCCAGCGGTTCAGTTCCCTATGCAAGTGCTCCAACGTCTGCGTATTCCACAGGAGCACCTTCATCGGAGGCTTGGTTGCTGAAAACACAACTACGACGTTTCTTTTCATTAGATCGAACTCTGGAAACGGTTCCTCCGATGTTGATGACGACGACGACGAAGAACGTTGATTTAGAAATGCAGACATTCTAGACTTCACTCCACTCAAAATGCACTAACGTAGTCTTTTGGTATACAATGTTGTGAAAACATATATGTGTTTACAGTCGTATTTATAGAAAAATACAATACTACGTGCCCCATATGAAATGTCTTAAATACCCTCACAAAATTTCTACACCTTATAATTTAATGGTTAATCAATTTTCACGTTTTAAAATTTATAATTTAAATCAATTTATATGCTTTTAAATAATTTATAATTTAAAAATATTACTTAAATTTATTAAACCTTCTTTTTTATAATTACTTATTTTTATTAAAATCTTTATTTTAAATAATTATTTAAATTTATTAAAAACTGATAATAATATAAATTAAATAAATAATAAAAAGCGAAACCCTAATGACAACTAATTACACTAATTCGCCAATTCATCTGGCGAAAGCTTGCATGTGCCCATTTCACAATGTCGCCATTTCAAATGGCGAATGCTGAAACCTAACCACTTCTGTAAATTCTTGGAAAACTTCGATTGCTTAGTAATTAATATACAATACATAGTTATAATAAAAAAAAAGTCATATATTTGAACCTTTCTTTAGTAAAATTTCAAAAGCATTACATCAATTAGTATTAATTAAAATATTAAAAATAACCATAGAGAACCTTACTAAAGCAACCTCCACCTCTCCTATAAATACAGAATCACAATCAATCCTTTTTCATGCTTGTGTTGCACTCATAAGAGCCAATTAACCAAAAAGTTACACCAAACCTCCCTCACTCTTCCATTCATGGCATCAAACTCCCAACCTCTCCCCACCACCACCACCACCACTAGACTCACCACCATACAAAAAATAAAAAGAAACTTACTTTTCCATTCAACATTATCCGAAATCAATGGAGCCATAGGTGACCTTGGCACTTACATACCAATAGTACTCTCACTCACTCTTTCCAGAAACCTCAACCTTGGAACAACTTTGCTTTTCACTGGCTTCTATAACTTCCTCACAGGTGCCATGTATGGTGTTCCTATGCCAGTTCAGCCCATGAAATCAATAGCTGCCGTCGCACTCTCCGACCCGTCTTTCGGTATCCCGGAGATCATGGCTTCCGGTATCTTAACCGGAGCGGTTTTATTGGTTTTGGGTGTTACCGGGCTGATGAAACTGGCTTACAAACTCATTCCCTTAAGTGTTGTTAGAGGAATTCAGCTTGCACAGGGTTTGTCTTTTGCTTTAACTGCTGTTAAATATGTTAAAAACGTTCAGGATTTACCAAAGTCTAAATCTTTGAATAACAGGGATTGGTTCGGGTTTGATGGGTTGGTTTTAGCTATTGTTTGTGTTGTCTTTATTGTTGTTGTCAATGGTGCTGGTGAAAAGGATCATGAACTTGAGATTGAGGAAGACTTGGGTGATTCAATTGAAGGTGCTGAGAGAAAAAAGAGTGGTAGGTCATTGAAAAAGATGATTTTTTCACTACCTTCTGCTTTTATAGTGTTTGTTTTGGGTGTGATTTTGGGTTTTATAAGAAGGCCTGATGTGATACATGAAATAAAATTTGGACCTTCAAATTTGGTGTTAGTGAAATTCTCTAAACATGCATGGAAACAAGGTTTTATAAAGGGTACAATTCCGCAACTTCCACTATCAATTTTGAACTCTGTGATAGCAGTTTGTAAGCTATCTTCTGATTTATTTCCCACCAAGGACTTTTCAGTAACTTCACTTTCAGTGACAGTTGGGTTAATGAATCTTTTGGGTGGTTGGTTTGGTGCTATGCCGTGTTGTCATGGTGCTGGTGGATTAGCAGGACAGTATAAGTTTGGTGGGAGGAGTGGAGGGTGTGTGGCAATTCTTGGTGCGGCGAAATTGGTTTTGGGTTTTGTGTTGGGGAGTTCGTTGGCGCATTTCTTCAAACAGTTTCCGGTGGGGATTTTAGGGGTGTTGTTGCTGTTTGCTGGGATTGAATTGGCTATGGCTTGTAGGGATATGAATAAGAAAGAGGATTGTTTTGTAATGCTTATTTGTACAGCTGTTTCACTTGTGGGGTCAAGTGCTGCTCTTGGGTTTTTGTGTGGGATGGTTGTTTTTGGAGTTCTTAAAGGGAGGAATTTGACTAGTATTAAGTCACTTTCTAGTATTTGGAAGCATGAAGAGCAAGTTTGAAGACAAAGATTGATAGAAAGATTAATGTATGTACTTGGTATTTCCTAATAATAATGTAATTGTTCTTCAATTTATATGTTTTATTTTTGTTCAAAAACAACTAGTTGATATGTATGTATCATATAAATAAATAAATAAATGTTAGGTTAAATTACACTTTTACCCCTCCTATTTTATATGATTTATAAAATTGGTCTCTTTATTTTAAACTTAAACTTTAATTTTTTCTATTTTTTCATAAAAAATTAATAAAATATTTATTTTTTAACTTATATTTTATTTATAAAGTTTTATAATAAGTTTATATACGATAATTTATCATATTTTTCAAAAAATTTATTATTTTAAAAAATAAAAACAGTTAATTTTAAGTATAGAAATATGAGAAGTGATCAAATTGTTTAAATTTAAAATAGAAGAATTAATTTCATAATTCAAGTAAAATAGAAAGAGTTTACTTAGTATGCAATGACGGTATAAAATAATTTTACACTTTCATCTAATATGAATTTATTAATCTACTATGTCATATCATTAATTAAAAATTTACAATTTGATTTAGCGGGATACATGATAGTAGTTGATTGACAATATAATATTATTTTACACTATTAATACTAGCGTCCAAACGGGCACTATTATTCGCTTTTATTAATGCACAGGCGAGTCAAAATATAAACGGTATTTTTTTGTATTTTTATTTTTTATTTTAATTAAATTATTTATTAAAAAAAATAGTAGAATGAAAGAGATGTCAAACTACCATATAGTAGTTAATAAAAGAGAAGTTGAGATTTAATATAAAAATAGAAAAGGGTATAATTGAAAGAAAAAATATTATACCAAAAATAAATTTTGCCTTTATATATAGTTATAGATATATCTCATTTTCTCAAATAGAAAAACCAAAACTATAATTTAGCTTAAATATTATCATCAATTATTCAATTTTAAATTATATTAGATTCATTTAATTCAAATAATATATATATATATATATATATATATATATATATATATATATATATATATATATATATATATATATATATATATATATATATATATATATATATATATATATATATATATATATATATATATATATATATATATATATATATATATATATATATATATATATATATATATATATATAATTGAACTATCATATCATATTACCATTTAATATTTATTTACTTATTTATTTATTTTTATTTTTAATTTATAATTTATCTATTATATATTGAAAATCTTAAAATGAAATAATTAATTATATTAATTTTAATTATAAAATTTAGTATCATTTATTGCAATAACTCAACTAGTTATAATTAGTGAAATAGTTTAAGATAAAAATCAATAAATAAAAATATAATATTAAAAAATATTGCACTAAAGAGACCATTATTATTAGACAAAAAGAAATGAAACATTTTGTACCAAAAAAATGAAATATTTTTATGAAAGTAAAGTATTCTTAATTACACTACTTCCTCTCCTTTGGGATTCACATGTTGTAAAACGGAATAAATATTGTACTAAAATTCTCACACTTTAGCATATCTTTAGGAAAGGTGTATGGTAGAATTAGATCCTTAGCTAGCAGTATAAATATCAATCGCTTTATTGCTGTTTCATTCTTAAACATTTTAATAGCAAACTAGTATCATACACCGTAAATTAATTTTGATACGATATAAAATATATTTAGATATACGTATAAATTTAAAATAAATTATTTAATTAAATAATTATTAAAACAAATTACGAGATAGAGAAAAAAATAAAAAAATTTAACATCTAATATTAAGGATTTGTCCTCTCAAATAAAAATAATTATTAATTAAAATAAAATAAGTATTTTATCAATAATGATCCATAAAATAGAAAGTTAGTTGTAGATCGAAATTTTATTATAAGATGAAAATTTTATTACTATTGAATATTATCAAATTTGATAAAATAAGTTATTAATTTCATTAAAATTTATAAAAAAAAATATTATTTTTAATGATAATAAATAAATAGAATTGATTAAATACATCATAAAAATAAAAAATTTCAAACTCACATTTATATAATTTAAAATAGTCTCCAACAAAATTTTATTAAAATACTTTAAAAATAATTTGATTTTTAAAATATCAGTGAAAACTTATTTATTAATCTTCATTCTACCAACAAAAATTTAAATCTTTGAACTGGGTGTGAATACCATAAAAATACATCTTTGTCATACTTCAAATATAGCTAAAGCTAGTTGACTTCATAATGAAACAATCACATATATATCTGTTAGCTGGCAAATTTTGACCAAGAAAAGAATGACAAGTTCGACGGGACATCATACAAACCAAGGTCGAAAACTCCTCGACAGAAGAACATTGAAGCAGACTCGAAAGATGGTCATCCTAGTCAAAGTCGAAGGCAAGGTATTTGGGTATGAAGCAAGTTTGCAACTGACAAAAACATGGGAAGTTACATAGGTAGTGGGCATACATGGGTAGACACATGGCAGGCTGGGGATGACTGACAGCAAAGTAACCGTTATTTTTTAGGCCTATTTAAGAAGATTCCAACTTCAGTTTTAGAGGTCGCATTTTGTAACATTGAAAAGAATACACTCAAAGTACCAGCGTGTGAGAGAAACGAGCTAATTCTGTGAAAATGTATGCATGCGTCCATTCTTACACTTAAGCAGTTTATTTTACAAGTCTTGTTTTTTTTTGTCTCTCTTTACAATTTTGTCTTACTTTTCTTTCATTGAGTTAATTCACTCATGCAAGCTCGACAGAGGACCCCACCTAAAATGGAGGTACCGGTCCAACACGAAGAGAGGTTCGATGAGACAATTGACCAAGAACCCCATGTGATAGAACCAATGCCTAAGGTCGCCCAACGACCACCCGTCTTGCTAGTCAATAGAAACGAAGACCCTGACCAAGTTGTCATGCAAGTTCGACGGGATGTAATTCCTGGAGAACAAAATCTAGAAGCCATTGTCGAGCGAATCATGGTGCGAAATGGTGTGAACCCTGGCCTGCAAAGGTCGGCATATTCGTCCTCATTACCAGACTTTGTGTTGCAAACAGAATTGTCAAGAGGATGGAAAGTTTCGAAGTTTACCAAGTTTGTTGGGGACACCGAAGAGTCTACCGTCGAACGCGTTGCCAGATATCATATTGAAGCTGGTGACATAGCAAATAATAAGGATTTGAAAATGAAATACTTCCCAAGTTCCCTCACGAAAAATGTGTTTACTTGGTTCACGATACTGCCTCCACAGTCCGTCCATACATGGGCGCAGTTGGAGAGACTGTTCCACGAACAATTCTATATGGGGCAGTCAAAGATAAGTTTGAAAGAGTTGGCCAGTGTCAAACGAAAGGTCGTTGAGTCAGTCAACTAGTATCTCAATAGGTTTAGACTTTTAAAAGCAAGATGTTTTACTCAAGTCCTTGAACAAGAGCTGGTCAAGATAACAGCAGACGGGTTAGATTATTCCATTAGGAAAAAGTTAGACACTCAGTATTTTAGGGACATGGTCCAATTGGCTGATAGAGTTCGACAACTCGAACGATTGAAAGTTGAAAAGGCCAGAACTGGTAAATACCATAAGAAAGAGAAAGTGTCTTATGTCGCGACAGATACATACTCTTCTGACGATAAAGAGCTCGTCGACGAGAGCAAAGTCAACGTGGCTGAGCTCAAGCCAGGACCTCCTTACACTTGTAAATTATTGGAACCATCGAACGGGAAAAATCCCGTTGAAACCGAAATAACAGATAAATTTATTGTAAAAACTTATACTTTCAATATAACTTAATGTGACGAAATATTTGATTTTTTTGTCAAAGACAGTCAAATTATTGTTCCTCAAGGCCTAAAAAATATCCTATTAGAGCAAAAGAAAAAAGGGATTCTGCAAATTTCATATTTTTCTTGGTCATAAAACCTCTCAAGGTGTTCTTTTCAGGGATTTAGTGCAAAAGGCTTTGAAAGAAGGCATGCTTCAATTTGGCGAAAAGCCAAGAATGCAGGTGGATATGAATCCTTTGAAGGTGGAGGATGTTTTGTATGTTGAACCTTTTGAATGCATGATGGTTGAGACTATTGAGGGTTTCAACAAAGCTCTGACTGTTGAGCCTTCTGAATGCCTGATGGTTGAAACTACTGAGAGTTTCGACACAAGAACTGAAGATGCATTGAAGGCAGTGTACCCCAAAGATGGAGAGGGATTGGCTGACTTCCAAGAGAAATGTAGAGTAAAAGGATCAAAGGTTGTGCTATGTCAAAGATGCAATGCTATCTTTGACAAAAAAAAGCTGATGAAAAGTACGAAGTTGACAAAAAAAAGGCGCTGGAAGGGAAATATACCTCCATCACAAGATTTGTATTTGACAAAAGAGGAGCTCCTCAGTGAAGTGAAGAGTTTAGGAGACAATTCAAACACCCTCAAACCAAGGCCTTTATTTCCTCGTCGAATACTCCACAAGAAAAATGGGTGGAACTAGTGAATCAGAAGGGGGGAGAGGCCAAAATGGAGAGTGCTCGACCTGGGGGAAGAGGCCAAGAATTTAGAGTAGAAAACTGAACCTAGAGGCTATGTGGTTTCTCCAAATTACAAACAGAAAAACCCCATGACAAGGATGGTGGATGCGGTATCAGAGAAATAAGAAAGTTATGAAGGATGGTTCGACGTTACAACTGAAACCTGTCGAGATCCCTAGGAAGAAAAGAGACTATCCAAAGGAAAGGCTGGTTGAGAAAGAAAGAATTGTGGCAAATCAGACGCTTCCCATGACTGTTGAGCCCTCGGGAGAGAAAAAGGCTCAACCCAAAAAAATAGAGTATAGTCCACTGATCGAGGATGAAGAACTAGAGTACACTCCCTAATCGGATGAAGAACCAGAGTACACTCCCCAATCAGATGATGAACTTGAAGACACCTATTCACCAGAATATGAGATTGTCGATGACACCTACGACAAATAATT